AGGGGAGACTCATCCATTTCAAAAGGATTTCAAAAGGTACTTTTCACATATATCATGTTATTTTATTCTTATTCTAAAATTAATTTATTTTTATTTATTTGAAAAGTTGGGCTGGGGGCAGGGAGAGACAGAGGCCAAGATCTTCCATCTCTTGGTTCATCCTCCAAATACCCACAACAGGAAACTGGAATTCAATCTGGATCTCCCCATGGTGGCAGGGGTACCAGCACTTGAGCCATCACTTGCAGTCCCCAGAGTGCACATCAGCAGTATGCTGATAGGTGTCCCAAGAGGTGACTTAGCACCTGCTCTGAACACCATTTTATCTAGCTCTCACAACAATCCCCGCCTCCCCACCTCCCCACTGACCAGTGAGAAAGCAGAGGCTGGGGATACCAAGGCATTTGCCCCAGTTGAGAAGAGTAAAGAGTAAATGCAGAGTATGACAATAACATCTCTGGTTGAAATTGTCAACCTCTGTACCCTAGCCTAGGCTGAGAAACGCAGTTGAGGACTAACTGAATACTTGGTTTACTTCTGAGTTTCTAACAGACAAGGAAAACTTTGGGTTGTATGGTGCTCATTGTTTGATGGAAGCAAACATACAAGTTTATTGGAACAAACTTCCTTTTAGCATTGTTCTAGAACATGAACTAGATAGATAGATAGATAGATACACACACACACACATAAAAATGTCCAGTATTTCACCTGTGGTTTTTCAGAAAGCATCAAATTGCTATGACAAAGGTCATTGTAAAGACACACCCTTGGCAACTGTCATGGGGACTGCTGGTTGTCACCAGTATCCATGGATCACCCTCTCCTGTAGTGCTATATCTCCTTCCAACTGTAGTTAGATAAATGATCACAGGAAATAAATATTTCCCAGCCTGCTGAACAGGTAGGTGTTGTCATGTAGCTAAGTTTTGCTAATGAGGCGTAAACAGGGTTTTGTGTGTGTGTGTGTGTGTGTGTGTGTTCCTCAGAGTGTCACTAAAGTAAAAGGGACTGAATTCATTTTCCATTGCTGCAAGAACAAATCATCACAAATCTTGCTGCTTAAATTAGCACACACTGTATTATCTCACAGTTGATGTAGGTCAAAAGTCCCCGCTGACTCAGCAGGTTTTTCTGCCCCCAGCGTCCACAAGGTCTAAACCAAGTTGGTGGCCCAGCTGGGCTCTTAGGGGGAAGCTCTGGGAAGAACATGAATCAAGGGATTTGTGACCGCTGGACTGAGCTACTGGTTTCCTTGCCTACAGTGCCCTGGGAGCAGCCCCTGGCTCTCTGGCTTCTCTCTGGTCCTGCTTCTGCGTCTCAGAGCCAGCAATGGCTTGGCACATCCTCTTCACACTTGTTTGGGCTTTGCCTTCTGTCTGGTCTGTTGGATTCCAGTTCAAGTTCTTCCCTTTTTAGGGCTTGCATCCTTAGATTGGGTACACAAGGATAACCCAGGGCCATGCCCTATTTGAAGGTCCCTGCCCTACTTAACAAAGCCCCTTTGCTCTGTAAGGGAACACATTCATAGGGTGGAGGGACTATCAGATTGACCTCTTTCAATTTTTCAGGGACCATTATTCTACCTGTTAAAGGGGCATGGCCTTTCCTGGGTTTCTTCCTTCCTGGTGCTTGTAAGTTGGTGATACGGCTGCAGCGCCCTGTGGGATGAGAGGGGTGCACAGTGTAGTGCTGGCAGATGGTGGGGGGGGGGATATCAATGGAGCCTGGGTTCCAGGGAGCCCAGGGGCACATTCCAGTCCCAGACAACCTGCCTCTGGCTCTCATGGAAAGGAGGAATCACCTTCACCCTTGGACCATGTGACTGAGGGGGAGAGTGGTTGACAGTCACAGCTGGGAAAGGAATGCAAAGGTTGTGAGAATCAAAATGGAGTCTCTTATGTCAACCTAAGAAGACCATAAATAAAACCGAGGGGTTATGAAGGAAGGGCTCCAGTGCCCGATTGATAGTAACGTTACTAGTTGAAGGACAGGGAGACAGCAGGAGACTAAAGGAAATTAAAATTAATTGGGAACGTAGAAATAACCTTCATTCACAAGGAGACATTTGGGGGATGGGTGGGACTCCTTCGTGAATGTAAGGCAATCAATTCCATCTCCATTCCCATTCCCCCGGGCCCAGCCCGATAAGGCTTCCAGTCCTGGAGGAACCCAATAAACCTTGCTTAATACCTTAGGGCTGCAAGTGAATTACAGTCCTGAATCCTGTTAAATACAGCAGGCAGGACCACCAACTCTCAGATGTTGTTATTGGATAGTATGGATTGGATTTACAAGGTGAGAATTTATTCGAGTAACTGTGTTAGAAGCACGTCGCGGGAGAAATGGCTTGTTGTTTTTCTTGAGCTGTTGTTGGCACGATGCGTCCTCAGTGCGGGCTGGGGACAGAAGGAACCTGGAGGAAATTTGGGGAATCCGTGGCTCAGGCCCTGGCCCTCAGATTTGGAGTGCTCTCGCCCTGGTTCTTGGTCCCCTTTCAGATTTTCAGTGGCTTCTGCCCGGGTCTGCGTGATGAGGGATCAGGGCCCCGGGTGTTCCAAGGCTGAGCTTTGACCGATCCAGCTGAGTGCTGGGTCTGATCTTGGTCTTGAATCAGATCCGGGAGACGGCGGCGGCGCGCAGAGCCGCGGCGCTCCGCCAACGAACCTCATCTCGGGGTGGAAGATTCTCAAGGGACTGGTGGGACTTGGGGCTCCAGAGGGGAGGCGCCCCAGGAAACTGAGTAGGGGCATGGAGTACAGGTGGGCGTGTTCCTGGGCCCAGCGGGCAGAGCCTGGCTGTCTCACGGGCCCGGAGCGCTCACGCCTAGCCGGCGCGCTCTGGCGCCGAGACCTGTGCGCAGCGCGTGCAGGAGCCCTGCTGGCTCGTCCTCCCGCCCCGAAGGCCACTTTCTCCTGAGACCTGTCGCAGGCCTACCTGTTCTTCATAGGAGAGACACAAAGCAAGTTCGAAGTGCAGGGGGAAGCCGACAGGCTCGCAGGGAGAGACTCGCACGGGTCACCGGCGGGGTTCTGAGGTCACCCTATTTGCTCGCAGAAGACTGTCCCAAGGCCCAGCCGCCTCCTTCTTTTGGCCTTCGGAGGAGATCTCCTCCTCCTTGCCTCCTCCCTACGAAGACCGAGGCCCCGAATGTGGGCTCGAGCTTGGAGCAGCGAGCGCCGCCTTCGCTCCATCAGAGTTTGTTGGCCCAGGGTGGCCGTTCAGAGTTCGACGCACGCACATCAAGCCCCCCACGCGGGTCGCCTCGTGGGGCCCCATCGGTGCCGCTGCGGCGGGATCTGAGTGGGTGGCACGGAGCCCTCGGGCCGGCTTCCACTGGCTGGGGTGGAGCGCAGGAGTGGGTTCACGGTCGAATTCGTTCTTCTTCCCTACTTTCTCTCCATTGCCTCCCCGGGCCTCCCTAGGAGGGCAACTTGGGCCCTTCACCCCTGCCACCCCACCACCCCCGCCACGCGCACTGGTCACTGCACGAGGTTCCCATCCTAAGCTCTCCAAAGATATTACTGATGTCGGCCACACTGTGAGCCCATTTTACGGAGGAGGAAACAGAGAGTTAAGCGACTTAATTAAGGCCACACGTAGGTTTGGAGAATGGGATTCAAGCCCAGGATGGCGGGACTCCAGAACCAGAGCTTTTAGCCTAGGAAAGCGAACGGCCCGGGGTAGGCGGCAGTTTCCGCTGTTCAAAGAGCAGCTGAATTGCGCTTTCAGCCAAAACTGGGTGATCTCTGAGCCGGCCCTGGGCGGGCTGAGGCTGCAAGACGAACCTGAGTCAACACCTGCGCCCTCCGCTGCCCAAAGATCAGACCCAGCAGAGCGCACCTCTTTTCCCAATGGCAAACCCTCGAACCCGCTCAGAGGGATCGCGGCCCTGCCGGCGCGCCGCGGAAGATCCGCACGCGAGCCTCTGGGAGGACAGCGGCTTCGTTCTGGGAACCGGAACGCCTCCTTGGCTCGGACGGGGCGCGTCCGCGGTGGGCGGATGAGGGACAAGTGCGAGCGCTTGCTGTGAATGCGCGGGTTCGCCAGCTAGGACGTGCTCAGCAAAGATCGGTGGCGATCGGTGCGAGCACGAATAGGATCCACAGCGACAGCCTGCGGCCCCACGAGAGGACACGGGCTGCTCCTGCCGGCGGACGGGGAGAAGCTCCGCAGCAGCGGCGGCTTGGATTGTTTCCAAAAACCAACAGCGGCTGTAGCCACTGTGTGGGAAAAGATGACGGCGTTCTAGAAACCCTGCGAGGTAGTCTTGCCCGGATCTTGCGGATGAAGCCCCTGTTTGAGGGACCTGGCGCTGAAACGCAAAGCCGAGGCGGCCAGCCTCGTGGAAGAGAGCAAGTCTTTTTCTGATGCCGGGTTTTTGCTTTTCTTTGGAATGGCGTTCTGATTTCTATAGCCCAGAAGGAAAACCACACAGGAGTGCCTGCTGTCTTTCAGTGTAGGAGCAAAATGAAAGTAGGGACTCTTGGAAAGGATCGGCCGGTGCGCTCCAGAGCGCCTGGTGGACGGCGACCCGCGGAGGGCTACGTGGAGAAGCGCGCGTCTCCAGGACCTGGAAGCCTACGGATTCTGGGAACATTTTTTGAAAGAGTCCACGAAACATGCTTTGCTGGGGCCCGCAGCTTTGCAGCGGGCGAGAGGCTGGGCCACCACCCTGGCCCGCGCTGCTGGCTGCAAGTCTGGGGCCACTCTTGGCTCAGGTCCCATTAGCCAAGGGTACGCCGACCTCCCACCCTAGGCCATATGGCCCGAGAAAGTCATCTGGAAAAGAGATCATTACCTTTGAAATAAAGCGAACTTGGAAACTCCGCCGCTCACACTTCTGTTCCAGCTCAAAACCCAAGTGTATTGTTGCTTAATTAATGCTTTCCCCGGGTAAGGAAAAAAAAAAAAAAGAATAAGCGATCGTTTAACTTTTACATTGGAATCATGGCACTGAAGGAAAGGCAAGGACCATCCCGTTCATCTTCTCCCCCTGTGAACTGTATTTATTAAGCAGCTCTTGAAAGGTGAACCTGATCCGGTATCTACCGATCAGAGTATTAAAAAAAAAAAAGCACAAAACCCAAAAACAGCAACAACAACAAAAACCAGTTAGGTAGCTTAACAAGTTTAAATAACACATTTTCAAAACCTTCTGATCGCATATATTTCATAGCTTTTATAGCGGTGGTCTGAGAATAGCTCTTTCAAGGCAGACCCGGCGGCCAGCCAGCTGCCTTTCAGCACAGTGGCCAATGGCCCTGGCCCAGGCACTCACCCCACATCCTAAATGGAAAGTTCCAGATACCTTTGGTTTAGTGATCCCTGGGGGGTCGGGTGCGGGTCCGTTCGAGGTTCCTCTTTCTCCCTCACACCCTTGTCCTACCCGATTGTCCTGGCCCCGCAGCAGGACCACCGGAGGCACGCAGCGACTCCTGCACCGCCTCTACCCTACAGTTTTGCTCAGCAAAGCCAACCTCGCCAGCTAATTTCTACTTCAGAGGAAGGGCATGCAGGAGGCTGGCGATGTCTGCGGCCAGAGGAGAAGGGGAGCAGGAGAACTGCCGGGTACGGGGATTTCACAGGACGCTTGAAATCGCCAAGGTTGCAAGTATTTCTAAACATAAAGTGGTCGCCCGAGTGAGAGTGGCTGTGTTCCGAGCAGATGAAGGCATTCGGTCCAGCTCTCCTGCTCCGTGTTGGCAGAGTCGCTTTAGCGCAGTTTGCATTGTCTTTCAAGGGCTGAGGCGGCTTCCTAAACACAGGTGCAGTGCGGAGTCCTGGGGGCGAGGAGGCAGGTGCATCACAATGGCAGACATCGGCAATCGAAAGGCAGAATCAGAAGAGGCCCCAGTGATTACAGAAACCAGTGTCTCCTCTGCTCCCAGAAGGTCCACCAGCATCTTCCTGCGGCTCCTCAGCTGGCAACATGCGCCTGGGGGAACCAGCGCCAAGTTCTTTCCCCTCCAGTCTCGGGTGGTCCCCAGAGCCCCACCCCGTCCAGTTTGCCAGAGCCAGTCGCCGCATTCTTGGTGAGCGGTCGAAGCCGCCTGGCAGGGAGCAGCCCCCGCCTCTCACCGGGGTTCCTGCGGCCGCCGGGGCGCGACGCTGGAGGGCTGCGGCGAGGTGCTAAGGCCCGGCGGCAGGCGGCCCTCTCGGGCGGCAGCGGGAGCGGCCGGCGGCACAGCACCTCCGGGGGGCGGCGGCGGCGGCAGCGCCAGTAGCTCCTCGCCAGAGGTCACGGCGCAGTCCTGCTCGGGCTCCGCGCCCCCGCCACCCCCGGCCGTGGTCCCACCGCCCCGCTTTTTGTCCTCCTCCTTTTTCCACTTCATGCGGCGGTTTTGGAACCAGATCTTGATGTGTCTCTCGGTCAAGTTCAGCATGACGGCCAGCTCCACCCGGCGCGGCCGAGAGATGTACTTGTTAAATAGAAACTCTTTCTCCAGCTCCAGCAGCTGCGCGCGGGTGTAGGCGGTGCGTGTGCGTTTGTTCTCCTCCGGCTCCGCCACATAGGGGCCGCCTGCGGGAGACACAGTGCGTGAGTGCGGCCACCCACCCGGCCCCCACCCACACAACCCAACCGTCGGGCCCCTGCCTGAGGGACCGCAGCCCTTCCAACTGCTCCTTTGATCTAGCCCCTACCCAGCGCCGCTTTGTGTGTGTGTGTGTGTGTGTGTGTGTGTGTGTGTGTGTGTCGGGGGAGGGGTATCTATGCAGACTTTCCTAGTGAAAACAACCTTTATTCTTAGAGGCTAGATGTACTTTCGCTGTCACCGTGAGCTGAGGCTTGGTTCTGCCCGTGATTGTTCATGTAACCCACCTTCGGGTTGATGCTGATTAAAATGCATGCAATAATTACTTAAAACGACTCGGTATCAGGAGGGCAACAAAATACCTTTAACAGAAGATTTGCTTAAAATTTTTTTGACGATGATCCGCAGTAAGAAATAGATTTAAGATCACTATGCAGTACACACAAGGAGAGATATGTATGTGTGTGTGCATATATATCTACACACATAAGCATATATGTGTACCTGTATCTGACAAACATTTCAGGATATACTACCAACATTAACCACGTATGATGTGACCTAATTTCCTCCCACTGTCCACGACTCCGTTAAAACAATGCTGATCGCAACCTAGTGAACTGATTTCACGACCCACTCACTGGTGCAATCAGCACTTGGCAAATCCCTGTGCCGGGGCCGGTGATGTGGCATAGCAGGTAAGGCCACTGCTTGCAGTGCCAGCATCCTGTGTGGGTGCTGGTTCAAGTCCCTGCTGCTCCACTCCTGATCCAGCTCTGCTATGGCCAGGGAAAACAGTAGAAAATGGCTCAAATTGTTGAGCCCCTGCACCCATGTGGGAGACCTGGAGGAGGCTCCTGGCTCTTGGCTTCAGATCAGCATGGCTCTGGCCATGGAGGCCACTTGGGGAGTGAACCAGTGGGTGGAAGACCACTCTCTCTCTCTGCCTCTCCTTCTCTCTGTGTATAACTCTTTCAAACAAATAAATAAATTTTAAAAAAAGAAAAGAAAAGAAAATACCTGTGCTATCTGTGTTTCGAAAACCCTGGTGCTAATGGGAATTCTGATAGGTTTTGTTATCCCCTGACCATTTAGGTCCTGTCTCTTCAGTTGTATTGTCATCAGCCCCAAATTATCCATAACTGTTTCAAACATAGCCAGGCGGCAGGACAAACAATTCTGTTCTGGGCACAGTCACGTTTGGCCCGTGCAGGATGCTGGCAGCCTGGAGCCCTGTGTCCTGTGCCCCAAATGCTGGCAGAGGCCAAGAGGGAATGCATGGGGCCCCGAACCTTGCTGGGAAGCTGAGAGGGCAGCGGAGGACCGGGTGGTGGGATAGAAACAAGCCTCCAAGAGCTCAGGGCTCCCAGCTCCAAGCCCGCGTCGCCAGAAAGCTAGCAAGTGCCACATACTCACTGTTTGCCTCTGTCTTCTTCTAGGTCTTGATCTGTTCCTTTCTGGGCAAATACCCAATCCACAGGCTAAACCTAGGACAGGGGCCATGAATATTTCCCTGAGGGTGTCCGGGAGGCTTTAAGGAGTTGAAAGGTGTGTGTATGAGCGCCCGGGCGCGCAGGTGTCTAGGAAGTGAGCTAATTTCCTTCCGAATCCTACCGCATTTCTACCCAGACACGAGGTCCAGACCCCAGTTAACAGGAGTCCTGCCTCCCTGCGGGCACCTTTAAGTCTTCCAAGCTGTCTTCCGCCAAGGAGAAAATCGAGGGCCCGTAAAAGAATAGTTAAAAAGGCAGTGGGAAATTCTGAACCACAATTCGCCACCTCTCTGGGGCTCTGCCTGGGTTGTGAGGCTGGCAGCGGTGCTGGGAGAGGCTGCGAGGAGTCCACTGCCGAGAGGGTGGAGTGGCGGGGGCGGGGGGGGGGGGGGGAAGGTGTGTGCGTGGGGGTGGACCTGTGCTGAGACCGGGCGAAGCTGAAGGGGGAAGCTGTTGATGGTGTGATTGGGAAGATGTCCTGGGCCCCTGGCTTCTGTTTGGGTGGCTTAGGTGAGTTTCCCAGAGCGGCTGATGCCCTTCGTTTAGGGCAAGGCTTTCAGAATGCGAATTCACGCTGGTACTGCGAAGGCGCACCCGTCGGTCGCCGTGCACTTCCGCGGGAAGGCGAGTTCCCTAACTCTGGAAGTTCGGCTCCTTCGAAAGTTTCCAGGAAGGGCCGGGGCCGGAGGCCCAGCAGTGGCCCGCAGCTGCTCACTTCCAGAAGTGAGCCAAGGTGGGTCCCTTCCCGGCGGTCAGAGGGCGCCCGCAAAGGCCTACCCCATATGCACTTTCCAGCGCCACAGTGTTCCCTTATAGAATGCGCCCCACGTCCTGGCAGGGACGCCCATCTGCCGCCTCCTCGCGTCTGTCTGAGCCCAGGCACCTCCAGAGCAGGGGCACATCCTTGGGTGGGTGGGTGGGGATCAGGAAGTTACCCCGCTTCAGAAGTACTCTAGGACTTCTCCCGCCCGGCTCCTAAGGAAGCGCCAGCCCGGGAGGCAGGGGCCTCGAGGGCTAGGATGCCAGCAAGTTGCGTCCCCGCCCCCGGGTGCTGTGAGAATAGGACCTCGGAGGCAACGCAGCTCTCGTGCCAACAACCAAGTGGGAGCCTCCAAACCCGGCCCTGGGGCCGTCTTCATGCCCACTAGGAGCCCGGGACTCCAAGGCCCGTGGCCCAGGGACTCAGGGGCTGGCGAGGTACAGAGCAGCGCCTCGGCTGCATCGGCCACCTCCTTGCCCGGGTTTCGCAGGCGGTAGGGACTGTCGAGGCTGAATTTGGGCCCTTTCCCTTAGCAAGAAAGTGACCTAGGAAGAGGCAAGCTCCGGAGGACCCTGGCGGATCCTGGATGGCCTTCTCCCAAGCCCGCGCTGGCTGCGCCCGGGTCAATATCAAGCAGGACTGTCCAGGTCTCACCAGACAGGGGCGCCGAGAAACCTGGGAGTGGATGAGGAGGGTGCGGTATGTGCCAGCTCGAACTTCTCTCCCCTATTCCCGACTGTCAGTTGAAAGCAAAAGGTAACTATTTGCAATGCAGGTGTGACCAGAAGTGGCTGTGGCACGGAAGCGATAACATTGTGTAGTGGCGGGGCACAGGCCGCGCCGGAACTCCCGGCAGCTCGGGGCGGGGGAAGGGAGCTGGGGGCTGCTCGGCGTCTTCCGCCTCCCGGCCGCGGAAAAGACCTTCGGGTGCGCGCTGGCGCCGAGGGCCGCGGGAACCTGGGCCTCTAGCTTCCCTGGGCGGGCTGTGCGTGGAGGGCGCATCGCCGTCTTCAAACTGGCTTCCTGAGAGACCCCTTCAAACGTTTCTGGTTGGCGCGGAAAGTATCAGCATCGCAGACGCCTCTGTCTGGCGCCAGGGATGCACGGTCGGCCCTCAGCCTTGCGGTGAGCTCCCCGGCTTTGCCCCAGCCCCTTCCCGACCCGGGCCGTCGCATACTGCAAGGCTGCGCGGATGCATTTTCCTTTTTACGCCTACTCAGTGCCCTGGAGATTGCCCGCGCCTGTGTCTTGAAGCTTCTGGGGTGGGCAGGGGGAGTGAGGAGATCAGAGGCTCCCAAGGCTCTCTCCTTTCTGGGTCAGAGACATCCTCGGGCCCTCGCTCCGCTTACTCCACGCCCACTATGCCGGCGTCCCGGGCTTCCGCTAGAGGAGAATCCCGAGCCTGGCTAGGCCTTTGCTCTCGGGGGCTCCCGGAGGCGAAGATGGGTGCAGCGGAGAGGGAAGGAGCTGGAGCTCCCGGGAGGAGAGCTGGGTTTGGGAAAGATGCTCCACGCTGCACCAGACAGGTGTTTCTGTGCGGGGTTGCACAGCAGGGCCCAGAGGCAAGAAGAGACAGGGGCGAAGCCAGGCTTACCTGCCCACTGGCCTTTCCACGCGTGAGCTTTGGTGGACTTCATCCACGGGAAAGGCAGCTGGACGCGGCCGGGCTCCTCCAGGGCACTGGGCTCTGCTCCATCCGGGAAGGGCCCGGCAGGCGGATGGGGGAGCGCGAGCGGAGCGGGGAGGTGGTGGTGATGGAGGTGCGCCACTGCGGGGTCGTCGGCCAGCGGGGGCACCTCGTACGGGGAGATGTCGGGTGGGCTGCCCTGCTCCAGCGCACCCAGGGCGCCGGGGAACGGGGGCGGCGGTGGCGGTGCGGGCTGACGGCTCATGTACAGGCACGCCGGGGGGCTGGCGCTGAACTCCGGCGCAGGGCCTCTCTGGAATGCGCATGGGTCCTTGTAGAGTTGTGTGGCCGCGTAGTACTGCTCCTCGCCGTTCATGACTGCAACCCGGGCTTGGGGACCGGGAGCCGAGGACTTGGCGCTGCGCAAGCGCTCCCACTCCCGGCACCACCCCTACTCGCTTTGACAGCTCCGCGCTCTTCTCCGGGGGAACTCAGCGGCCGGCGGGGACGGGTGGGCCGGCAGCCGTGCCATAGGCTCCGCCGCGCCCCACGTGGCTCAGCCTGGGGCCATTATTGGCCCGGCCGAGTACCTTAAGAAGCGAGGCCCAGGTACTCGCAGGCACCTGCATTTGTTTCAGTTTTCTCTCCCAGCTGAGTTCGCTGCATTTGCCTGTATACAGCTGGCAGTGTCTCTCAAAGCGGGAAGTGTTGGAGAAACATTCTCGTCGTGGTTTACACGTTTCTATTTTCCCTGCGTCTTGGATAACGTACACTGTATAATTGAAAAAGATTCACAAATACAGATTGAGTCACAAATACAGATTGCAAGCTTTCTTAACTTTTGGAGCATACAGTTCCAAAGCATGTGAACCCCAGTTCTATAGGTCAGGGGGCAGTTTATTTTATTTGCAAAATTTGTTCTCCATCACTACTAATGTCTGTGAACGGACGCATAAAATTTCGGTATTCGTTGTGTGCTTTATCTGTGGCTGCTCCAGGTACTTCTGCGGTGTGAGCTGTAATTGTAGAAGCATTCACAGTGGCTTTTTTTTTTTCCAAAATTGAAGGGCTTTACATTTTGATTTGGGGAAATTGGGGCCCATTTGGTCAGCTCTTAAGGCAGTTTAAATGTGGCGAGCAGGAAAGAGGCCGATAACGGCTCGCGCTGGGAGGCCCATCCGGTGTTGGCTCGGGTTTCTCAAGCTCTCGGCGGTTCTCCACGGATCTCGGGAGCGCGGCCGTAGTCCGCCAGCCGAGAGCTTCCACTTTGCGGTGTGTGATTTGAAATAAGGCAGGCTTAGGGAACTGGGGTGTTGAGGAAAGGAAATCAAGGCGCTGCATTTTCACAATGTCCGTGCTTGCCTTCGACCCATTCGGTAACCTCTGAGCACTCTTAGACGGAGCCACTTTTCCGCTCCTGCTCTCTCCCAGGAACTACCCCAGGCCTACGCAGTGACAGACGCCAATGACCTGCCAGGGCCCGGCGGCCGGACCAGCCAGTGATCCGGATCTCCCGAAACGACGACTTTCCTGAAACAGCCACCTAGGGCTTTAGGAAAACCCGGGCACCGTTTCAGAAAAGCTGCAAAATCTAGCGTGAGCCACAAGGAACCGAGCAGGAGAAATTACCGCAACCTGAGCAAGCCGCACGCTAGCGCACTCGCATACCTTTGCTGGATTTTAATGTTTTCTCCTACTGGAAATGTGTGTGTTCTGAATGCGCACGGATTGGGTGCGATAATCTCAACTATCTTCGTTTCATTAACGGACCAAGAGCCGGTTGGGAATTTGGACTTCTCCGCGGATTCTTTCTTCCGCGGGAGGTTGGCGCGGCCTCCGAGCGTTCCACGCCGACAGGCGCTGGCGCCCGCGGGGTCCGCGAGAATCCGGGGAGGCACGCAGCGCGGAGCCCCTCTGGCTCGCCGCAGCTGTCAGCCAAGGACAAGCCGAGGGAGACTGGCGGGCGGGGAGCCTTTCTACGGTCTCCTCCGGGAAAAGGGCCACCTGCCGCCCTGCGGCCGGGGGAGGTGTAGGCCGTGGGACCCGCGCACCGAATCTCGGCGCCGTGCGTCAATGAGTCCATTGTTCGCGGTGGCCGCGGAGGACCCGGCGCTATCGCCCCGGCCGCGAGTGGCTACATCGATCAGTAGGGCAGGGCCGGAGCGGGGTCCCGGCCGCGGCGTGTTGACCCTCGGAGATTATCTGCCAAGGCGCCGGGGGTTGACTTGGCGACGCGGTTATGAGCCGGACAAAGATCGTCCGCCTTCCCCGCCCCCTGCCGCCCCCTCCCTTCTCTCTTCCTCCGGGCACCGCCACCCCCACTGTGGACTCGGTGCGCGCCCCACCCCCGCCCCGAGCACCCCGCCGCGCCCGCCACCCCCGGAGTGTTTACTCTGCACTTCTCGTCTAATTGCACATTTCGGTAAATTGGGCTCCATTTCGATGCTTCATTTGCTTCCATTTAAGAGTTTTGCTCAGCCCTGCAGAAAGGAAAGAGGTTCTCAGCGGAAAGCAAATCGGCGCAGCGCGCTCCCGGGCTGGAAACCCGTTCCTCGGCCTAGTCAAAACCCGGGGGAGGGGGCGAGGAGGGGCTTTGGGCGGGCGTTTTCTGAGCTTCGAGGGTTGGCGTTTCCTGCCGCCTGCTGCCCAAAGGACGGACCGAGGAAACAAACGCTAAGTGGTTCCTTATTATTATGATTATTATGATTATTCCTATGAGGTGGGACAAGGCTATTAGGATATATATAGATATATATTACATATAGTGATATATCTATATATATTGATATATAGATATATCAATAGATAGATATATCTATCTCTCTCTATATATATTGGATTGGCTCATTGTCAAGTACATCCGTATGAAAGAGGCATCTCCGCAGAACCCTCAGCGGGGCAAGATTCGAGGAGGACGTAGGTGCAGGGATCATAAAACCACCGAGCGCATTACAGGTGGAACGCGTTTCCGCTCTGGATCCCGGCGGACGCCTGCGCCCTCCACGCAGCCTGGCCTCTGACAGCCCGGCGGTGATACCGAGCCATTAGGCAAGCGCCTTCCCAAGCCATTTAACAGCAGCTCTTATGGATAAATCAACAAAAAAGGCTGTAAACCAATTATAGTGTGGACAGTGAAAAAGTCGTTTATTAGGAGGACGTCTTGATAGCCTTCGCTGAGATGGGCGGTCCTCGCCTTGCCCTCTCCCCCGCTCGCCTACACACGCGTCTGGCCAACACGGCTTACCTTGCTCTCGGTAAAGTCATCGAAGACGCACCTGAAGAATATGTGCATCAAGAATTTAAGTGGAATGTATTACAGCCTATTTATTTTTGCAATTCGGTGTTCAAAATAAAAACTTACAGCGGAGTGGGCTAGCTCAGCGTTGTAATCCATGTATGGATTGAGTGTGCGCCTTCTGTTCTTGACCTCAAGTTCATGAGCACTGGCATTTCCTTCAGCGAGTAGAGTGCAGACGTGGCTTTCTCCCCGCCAGGGTCGATCAGCACTCTCCTGTTCCTTGGTGAATCCTGGGAGTCTGGAAGCCAAGTCTGACCGAGGGGCCCCTGGCCGGCAGCTGGGGAGGGAGTGTGTGTGTGTGTGGGGGGGGGGGCTCAGACTTGGAGTTTAAAAGTATTCCATTGAGTCCCTGGATAAAAAACGATCTAGTGATGATAGGGGAGAATCGGAATTGTTTTGCAGGTAATTCAACAACCCCTCTCCCCTGCCCATTATAGATAATAGGCTCAAAAATCAAGTTGGGCCAGCGCTTCTTCTGTACCTCACTGGCTGTGGTGAGTGTGACAGAAGAGAGGGAGCACTCAGGGAGGAGGTTCTGTGTGCTTCAGGACCCTGCACTTCACCTCCCAATGCTTCGGTCCCCAGAGCCCTGCAGGTGTGACACAGGACGTCAGCCTAGCACCAGGCGTGCACAAAAGCTGTGGAGCGGGAGCACTCATGAGTAGGGTGCGCTGGTGGCTCCTGGGGTCGCGATGGGCCACTGCCAGGCGTTGCCTTGGAAACCAGAGCGCCAGAAAAGTCCTCTCCATCGGGCTTTGTCAGGCCCAGGAAGAACTTCTCCGAGGCGCGGAGCAAGAGCCGACAGCGTGGGCTTTAGCAGCCTGCGCAAGCAGGTGCTTCCGGCGCTGCCGTTTCTTCCCCACAGCGTACAGCTGAGACAGCAACGGCGCAGGCGTCCACACAGACACCCCAGCCGCACCCTAGCACAGCTCTTCATGGGGACACAGCAGACGCCCGACACGGAGCGTTTACAGTGACAACCGTCTCGCTCGTCGTCATCCTGCACTGCTACCATCCTTGCTGTCGCTTTGTCCTGCCAA